TGCTTTGACATGTTTGGTGTGGAATATTTAGAATACCCCAGGGGTTCATCAGAATTTTGGCACCAGTTTAGGTGCCAATGAGAGAATTTAATTCATTTGGTTCTAAGATTTGATAGGAAAGTATTTGACATCTTATATCAATAATTAAAAATACAGAACTCTTCTTATGGTTTGGGGCTTATTTGTAAGGGGAAAAAATATAATGTAGGACATATATTCTATAAGATTATTTATAATAGTCACCCAAAGAATGATATACAAGATAGTGCAGGAAATCTGTCCACACACTAAGACCAAGGAATCCAGCTGAGGGCCTGGATCCCGTGATAATGTCCTACATGAGTCCAGCTAAATACCTAGTGCCCATAACAATGCCTCCCACAAGTCTAACTGGAGGCCCAGAGCCCATAACAATGTCTCATCCAGGCCTGTTTCACAGATCTGTGCTGGAAAGGCCCGAAGGTCAGTGGTGGAATCTAGGAAGTCTGCCAGCAGGATGAAGGATCTGTGCTAGCAGGCTGAGGGGTCTGCACTGGAGCCAGGAAGCGATGCTCAGAAGAACCAGAACTAACCCAAAAGGTACCACAGACATTCTCAGCAACAGTGAGGTCCTGAGCTCCTCTGATGATCAAGATGGCTGAGTTCCCATTAGGGAAGCCAACGCAGCAAGCTTCTCCAGGAGAGCAGCAGTGCACCATCTTTCCCTCCCGAGCCAGGAAGTGAATCTCAAAGTGAGGACCAGAACTCCCCCAAAGTGAACCAAAGCCATTCTCAGTGCCAACAAGGTCCTGAGCTCCTCGGAGGATGAAAACAGCCAAGTTCATCAGGAAAGCCAGCATGATAAGCTCCTCCAACAGAACCAATAGCTCCTTACAGCTTCCACCAGCTCCCAACAGCCTTCCTCAGCTCCCAAAAGCCTCCTTCTCCTTCTCCAGTTCTGCCTCTGATGCTGCTGGCAACAATCCCCAGCTGAGCCCCCCATACCCAGCACCACGCTTACTCAGTTCAGCTAGGGGTTATAAATTGACCACCAGTTGTTAATCTACTACAACTCTGTTTGCTACTGCAAATTTGGTTTAGTTCAAATTGATGTAGGTGTATGTATTTCTGCATCTCAGTTAGAGCAATTTTGAGAACTCTGATTCTGGTATATAAAACTTGCTTGAATTGCTGTTCATTTTGGAAGGAATAATAAGAAAGAATTTCAAGAGAGAGGTAACAGACAGCAGAGATATTTTTGCAATGAAGCCTTGTGGAGAGAAAAGGAACACACACACACACACACACACACTGCCCAGTTGTGACATTCAATGAGGAAGAAAACAGTCTTTTGTAGGAGGAACTGTGGCAGCAACAACGGTGGAGGGAAATGCAGGAGAGGCAGAAATGAGAGATGGAGGTTAACATCTCAGAATCATACAAAAGGAAAGCTTTTAAATATTTGGTAGGAGAAAAGAGAAAAAAACCCCAAATATATTGTCTTCATAAATTAAGAAACATTTAAAACTCTTAGGCAAAGGAGATCTTGGGAAACTTCTAGCAACTATGGTCTACTCAGAGACTCCATATGAGATTAGACAGTGGCGTGCTGAGTGAAGCGGTCCAGTCAAGTTGCGGGAAGGGGGCGCCAGTCCAGGCTGAGGTCACTAAGCTCTGGAGGAAGGGCTGTTCCTTCCTCCCATAGAGATTCCCATATGGGTCAGCAAAGGCACTGACTATGGTCAGTCGAAAGGACCATTTTGGTGCACCAACTTTTATTTAAGATGCTTCTTTCCGATGCTATCTTTATTATTTTCAACTTTTGAAAACATTCTCTTTTTTTCTCCATAGGTTTCAGGTTCCTGGGAGCTACTGTGGAGTTATTTCCTAAGGCTGGGCAAAACGACCCTTGACCTGCCTTTTCCTCTGATTTGAAAGATTCTCAAAAGGAATTGTGTAATATGTACATATAAGGACAGCTGGAATAGGTGTATTGCTGATGTCTGTGGTTTATTGAGAGGAACAGTCAATGCTTAAAATTTTCTTTTTTCTTGACCAATTTTGCATGCTTGAATTTGGTGATCAGAATGACTGATCTGAAAACAATATGCAGTATATGAATCATTGTTGAACTCCTACCATCTTGTACGGTGAAGTTCTGCATCATTTCCAAGGTTTTAATTTTTAATTTTTTTCTTTTGTTTTACTCGTCACTGTCTTTTGATTGTTTGATCAATATGACTTTCTTATGTCTGGTGGACTGAGCAACTTTGTTAAAGATAACAGTATGTAATGTAGCAACCATCGTGAATTTCTATCATTTTGTTTTGAGGTCATGTATTGTTTTTGTTGTTTTTGTGTTGTTTTGATTGTGTCTTCATTGTTGTTTTGTCAGTTTTTTAATTTTCAAAATAAAAAAGGAATTATGTAGCAACAAACCTTCTTTGTGAATGTCCCCAAGCACAATTCACTATATTTTTTATAATATATAAGATATGCCAGGTCATTTGGATTTCATCCAAAAAGGTTTAGTTCTCTAAGCATCAGTTCCTCTGTAATATGGCCTCATCCTGAAGGCCTTCAAAACAAAGTTGAAAACAGAGTTACATTAGAGTGTGGAAATAGCATCTACATTGTTTAGGGTCTCTGGACATGACAGTCAGAAAGAATATCTTATTATCACTGACCCATTGTAGTAGTAGTTTCTGTTTCACACACATTTATGTTATTATAGAATTCAATGTTCTTGACAGCTGTGTTGGATGAATAATAATTAAATCTAACATACATTCCTAATATGTGCCTGGTACTGTGGCGGGAGATTTTAAAATTTTTGTTGTTTGTTTTTTGTTGTTTGTTTTAAGACATGGGCTCCCTTTGGTCTCCAGGCTGACCTCGAACTCCTGGCCTCAGGCAAGCCTTCCCTCTCAGCCTCCCAAATAGCTGAGCATACAGGTGTGGGCTCCCATGTCCGCAAAGTGATGGATTTTTTATACTAAGCAAAGACATGCTTCTTTTTTGCCAATCTCAGAACATTATATACTCTCAAAAGTAGGAATAATGAAAAAATTGAATTTTTCCAATGTACAGAACGTGGAGATACAAGGCCCCTAAAATTAACTGTATTGAGCACTTAGGCTGGATATAATTTAGACAAGCTTATTGCTTTCAATTTATGCTTTTTTAGCGTACATAAAGTCATTGTAACAGTTCACGTAAAATTATGTTCTTCTGGACACACTGTACAGTCAGATGATCTATAGCCCTATAATAACTGATACATTTGATAAAATCCATTGGGAAAGATAAAGACTTAATTGCAGTAGCCACTTATATATTTCTATGCATAAACAAGTGCAAGCTTACACAGAAACTTCTCACGGATCCAGTAGCTGTAGCTATATAATAAGCTACTGCAAATTGCAGTGACCTGAAGTAACAGCCACCTTCTTATATTTCACTGTTTTGTAGGTCAGGAATTTGCATGGGGTTCCGCTGGGTGCCATGTAGGGTCAGTAGAGGTCACCCTGAAAGGTAGTTAGGGTGGATGGGCTGGTCTGGGGGATTCAATACAAAACAGCAAAATCCACAAGGGGCTTCAGGAAGACAGGACTCAGCTGGGACTGCTGATGAAAGGCCTTTCCAGTACTACAGTATCAAGGGAGTTGACCTTTTTACAAGCCAGCTCAAGGCTAACAGAAAGATCATATCAGGCCACCCTGCTGGAAAATACAGGTTCCTTATTGTCCAGCTTTGAACATCCCAGCATGTTACTTCTTCAAGATTCCAGTTTTCAAACAAGTCACTGAAGCCAGCCCCAATTCAAGAGTGGGAGATAAGAATCTACCGCTCAGTGGGAAGAGAACAAAGAATGTATGGCGGCCTTTAATCTGCATACAGCCAGACCAGCTGAAAGAGCACCTCAGTCCAGCGACTATCCCTGGACATTCTCCCGTGAGGTTCCCAGGATGTTTAAGGCACAGACTTTTGCAGTGTGTTCTGGTCCTCTGCCCATGGAAGACATATCAAATCCCCAGCTTTGATCTTTGGATTCATGTGTTTTGTATCTGCCCCATATTTCCTGTGCTAAGCCATTGTCAACCTAAATGACAATCAGAGAGATTCTCCAAAGAATAAGGATATTTACTTGAGAATAGCAGAGCAGTGCCATTGGATCATGCATGTCACAGTAAATTCTAGGCAGATTCAAGGAGGCTGAGGCAAGGGGGAGTTTTCAAAAGCAGAGAGAGATAAACGTATGGAAGCTGTTTGGATACAGAGTTCATTGGTCTCCGAGACGGCAGAAGGAGTTGGAGTCAGAGAATCAGTGGAAGGACTTGCTGGGAAAGTGTTTTGTTAGAACTTGTTTGGATTGTTGCAATTCAAGGAATGTTAAAGATAAATTTTGATAAAGAAATCTGTGCATGGTAGAAGAGGGTGTGCAAACCACAGGACTCCTGTAGAACAAGAATAAATCTCTCACCTTTAGAAGGTCTTTGAGAATGTACTTACCACAGTTAGGAACAAACCTTCCCCCATTATAACTTCCCAGCTATAATTTTGCAAGGATCATCTCAGTATCATCAATTTTCATACCATTATGACCAAAAAGTCTTTTTGTGTATTGTGTGTCTATTATTTACTAGTTTTAGAGCTCTTCTCAGTCATGAGCTCACAAAAAGTCAGAGCTGGAAGCCACCCCAGAGGAAAAATCCCAGTCCCATTTTATGAGCGAGGGAATTAGTAGCTCTGCTAGTTACACGACCTATCCAAGGTCAGAAACTGATTAGTAACAGCCTGAATGGTCTGTTGCACTGCTCAAAGAGTGGCATTCCTGACTTATGTGCAGGGTGGATATCCTGCTCACCTGATTCTGAGCGCTTAGAAACAACCCTGTGCCTTGATTTGGCCTATTTCATCATGGAGCATTTAAACAAATTCTGTATTTCAGCTACAGTTGTTTAATCTTATTATCTAGCCTATTTTCTCTGTCCATTGAACAAACGTGTCCAAGTACCTACCAAGTTGGCTGTAAGGTCCTCGGCATTTACCTGCAGCTGAAGCAGTCTTGTGCAGACCCACAAACAGATGGTGCTGGCTTCTAGGAGTTTTTCTTCTTGAAAGAGCACAAATTTCTCCGTAGCCACTTTTCTCTGGGTCACTAATTTGACCTTGTTACTTCATCTGTAAGTACTTTTATACCAAGGCCCCTGCTTCTCTCCTGTACAGACCAAGTAGCTGAGCAGCCTTCCCTTAGAACCAGCCTATCTGTTCCAAGGCTTCTGACATGTTTTCTGTACAGAGCACTGATTTGCAGAGGCCGCTAAGCGGTGCATAGATCAGTGTGCTGGTCTAGTTGTTCTTGCTCTTTTTGTTTCAAAAGACAATTGCTCTTCAGGCAAGCTGATAAGCAGACTTGATTTTAGGCCCCCAGGACTCTCTATGGCTGCCCTAAACACAGTCTCAGTATCTTGGGTTTCCGGTTTATGTGGTGCCCTGGTGCCATCAGCTTTAGTCTTGTGCTGCAGCTAATTCATCCTCTTCTGGGACCCGCTGGGACAGGATGACAGAGCCGGCGCTGAGGGTGAATTCTCACTCTCACAGCAGGCGGGCTCACTCCCCCAGCCCAGGCAGAGGGAAGCTGCAGACCCTGTCCATTCCAGGCAATGCCAAAGGTCAAATAAAGGGAGGCCGAGGAATTGGCAGGTCTTCCAGGGGAGAGACGACAGGCCCTCCAGGGGGAGGCCACAGACCAGGGGGAGGTGATGGACCCTCCAGGAGGGAGGCGACGCATGCTCCAGGGGGAGTGACAGGCGCTC